GTGTTCAGCCCATTTTCCCTCATTAGCACAAAACCACAAGAAAAATCAACACCCTCCAGAAAATAAAAGCTCATTGAGAGGAAGCTGGTGCAAGGGAACAAGTCTTTCTCTCTTGAATTGAAATGAAAGAAAATAAATGAGATATTCTTCTTGCAGAGAAATTATTCTAACTGTCGCTCACTATTCAGCCCAGGCTGGGCGCACAGGAAGCCAAGTGCTCAGCCGCACCGCAAGAGTGGAGAGACAAAACATCCCCTTAACGCCAAGTGCATGCTGATGTTTCCAGCAATTTTAGTATCAAAAAAAAGCCTAATCTTTCCTTAGGGCCTGGTTTGCTCCAAACAGCAGATAAAATTAAGACAAACCATCCACAAATCAGAGTGTGGCAGATGACATGGGGGTCACGGGCACCAGCAGAAGCTGGTCCTCCCTTGCACCAGCCATTTTACAAGTTCTCACTGAGGCAATCAGACAGCAGCAAGTAGACATCATCGATTCCCTCAGAAACATCAGATAATCAATTTCACTGCACACAACAAGAATCTTTAAACATCATCTCCGAGGTTGGCTCAGTGCTTCTCCAAACCCTTTTGAAGCACTCCCAGCATGAATGGGACCAACAGCCTGCAGAGGGATGCTCTGGCCCAAGGTCCAAGCTGTGGCAGGGGCAAGCACTCAGCAGAGGACTGAGGGCAGCAGCTGCTGTCCCACAGGACACACACCTCCACGAGGGATGCTGCAGGTTTGCTGCTCCGAGTGCTGCTGAGGCAGCATGGGCTCCAGCCTGCACCAGGCGATACTCAGCTAATGCAACCAGACAGGCAGAAGGCACAGTGCACATGGTACCCGAGTAGTTGGTGCTGTTTTACAGTACCTGCACAGATGCTTGTCTATTCATGGCAAGTCCTTTCACTGTCCAGCATTTACTGCTGACATTAACGAGTTCCTTTGGCTCTCTAATTGGATTTTCAGGGGTATGACAACATTTTAAATAGGAGCACAAACTGGCCAGCACCGTGGTACCTCAATGGAAGCTCCCAGGCTAGTATGCACATGGCTGCTCTGCCACCAGCAACCAAAATGCTGGCAGCCCATCTTCTCCTGGAGAATACCACACAGGACAATACACTGATACTCCCTAAAAAGGGCTTAAAGAAGGCAGCTGTGCATGCCACACCAGCAAACTTGGTGACTCCTATACCAAACGCCAGCGGCCCAGCTCTGCCTGAAGTCCTTCACAGCCTGCCCTGGCTGCCTGCCCCCCATGCCTCCTCCCAGCATCACCACGGCCATGGTGGTTGCTCCAATCTCCCAGGTTCATGTAGGGCTAAGACATCTCCCACATCCCACTGCTCCCTGGAGCTGTGCCACCATCCCCTCCACATCACTACGGCCCTGCTTATGCACCAGAACCTGGAGAAAAGCTGGTGGCAGTCACCTGTGGCTGCTGCAGGTGTTGGCTGCCAAGCTGATGCTCTCTCACTACTCCTTCATCCAGCTGCCTGCACAGACCCTGTCCCATCCCCATGCCTGGGCTGGCTGTCTTCTCTAATTGTACAATTTGCAGCACATGAAGATCACTGCCTACAGCTAATGCTTCCTATCTACGCTGATGTCAGTCATCTACAACACTAATGGCAGACACACTGCTAAGAATTGCTTTAAATGTGTCACTTCTTTCCCATTCAAGGTGGTAATACCCCATGTCTTTGGTAACACAATGTCCTTTGTGGACATTTTGGTAAATGCCAAGATTTTTCTGCACAGATTTTTAATTTGAAAACATGTTGGGATTGGCCTTATATCACATGCATTTTTTTGCCCTCCCATTCCAAATTGTCTACTGCAATTCAGTGAAGAAAAAAAAATCTATTAGAAGTGTCACTGCCTTCAGATCCCAAAAGGTATAAGAGATTGAATGAAGCTGACTGACTGATTTTACCAAGTCACCTTGTTATTGCTGCCAATCCAAGAAATCAGCTTCCCCACTTCCTACACTTCCTAGAATAAGTTGCCTGGCATGCAAAAGGAGTTTTTTTGTTTTGCTTTGTTTTGTTTTGTTTTTTAAGTGGCAGTTAAGATTCATACACCAAGAGCATTTAAAGTTTCAAGTAGGATACCCTGCTACCTACATGTACAATGAGACTCTAAACTCTGAATGTCTTGGTACTTTACTCTCATTTGGATGAGCCTGTTAGCCACAGGTCTCAAGATTTCACATATACCACAGCTTGAGGCACAGTCCTACCATCCCATTAGACCTAAAGCTAATTCTTCACAGCACTTTAAATTACTGCATTTCAGAGAAAACAAAACAAACAAACAAACAAAAAATCCCACCAGTAATTCACTACCCAAAAGATTAGGCGTCATTACAAATAATATGGAAACAATTCCATCCTCATGCCTCAAGACACATGCATGGTCTGCACCATTCCACAAAGGGATTGGCACCATGCATCTCTCTCGCCCGCTCCCAGCAATCAGTGCCGAGCTGTGCCATGCAGTTAGTCACACTGGTGCTGTTGGCTGTCAGCACCGTCATTGCCCCTTTGAGCAGCTGGCACAAGCATGTCTCCTGCTCACCCACCGCCTGCACCGAAGCCCTACAGGAGCAGCCCCAGGGCAGTACCAGGGTTCTGCTGCCATCCCCATGAGCGTCACGGCCCACGGTGCCCGTGGGCTCCTGGAAAATGCCAGCCAAGGGAAATATGCATCAGCATCCTCTTGATGGAGATAAAAGGGGAGCACAGATGCAAGATTTCATTTGGATGCCGTATTTTAGTGGCAAAGAAGAGCTTAAAAAACATAGAAACAACATGAAGGAGTTTTGTTATTTTAAGCAGACCTTAAAGCAGAGAGATTACGTGAATATTTAATAAAGCTTATTTATGGCTACTATACAGTCTTAGGGGATGTCCTCAGATGCTGCCGTTTGGGTCTCCCTGTCACAGGCATCTGCAGCCCTCCCTCTAGGAAACGCAGTCTCCCACTGGCAAAGCTCAGAAGTGATTCATGTTTCCTGGCGCCAGGGAGATGCTGAGAGCTTTCCAGATTTGCTGCCTGGATATTCTTATGCCACTAGACAGAAACCTCATGACTTTAATCTTTGTGAGTCAAATTCAAACTCTAGTAGCATTTTGTTTCTCATTTCTGCAGCTCTGCTAAAGGAAGACAGAGGACCTGTTTCTTCCCATGAGGAAGATTTTAACCTTTACAGTAGGTCAAGTCCTTTGGGAGAAAGTTTTGTTCCCTCTGTGTTAAGCCTGTAGCTTCACCCCACCCAGCTCTTGCTGCTGTACATGTTAACTGAAAACTTACAACCCTCTTGCAGAACACGTGTGAGCAGGAGCAAGGCACCAGCCTGCAGACCTGCAGCAGGAGCAGCGCACAGCAGCCCTATGCAAAGGGGCTGAGCAGGCTGCTGGGAAGGCTGAGGAGGAAGCAGAGAGCTCGGGCACACAGCCAGCATTGCTGAGACCTGGTCACCTCCTCTGTGTTTCCCGGAACAGCTGGCTTTCAGAGAAAAGCAGCTAAACACCACAGCTGACAGTCTGGCAACCGTGCACATCAAGTCAGAGGGCAAAACAAAAATAGCCAGGAAGCCAGCCATACCGCACCGTGGAGCTGTAGCTCTGTACAGCCACAAGGGACCCAGCAGGGAGCCCTGGGGATCTCACCCTGTCCTACATCCTCCTTAAACAAGAACTCTAAAGCCTCCTCGCACTTTCCTTCATGCACAGGCCACACCCAGGATCTCCTCCGTGGCATCGCTCCCTGCCCTGAGCCCCACTTCTCCCTGAACTCTCCAGAAAACAGGCCAAGTTTGAGGGTCACTGAGGGTATCCCCACACCACACAACTGTGCAAACGCTGCCAAGCACGTTAGAGCCACGGGGCTGCCTCAGGGCCAGCTGTGCTGCTGGAGCCCACCTCGCTCCTCCTGCCTGTGGTTTCCCATGTGGTTTCCCGGCCTCCAGGGAAACAACACAGTCCCCACAGGCCACGGACAGTCTCAAGGTACAATTATTAATGGCAACAGAAATCGTTTGATTGTCCCAGACCTCTCCACAGTTACAGTTTTAGCTTCTTAGACAAGAAATGTCATCATGGAACCACTGCAGCTTTCTGGTAAAGTGCAATGCGACAGAACATCCAGCTGCCGTGTGCTCAGGGCCCAGTGACCATCAGCATCCCTGACTCTGCAGCACCCACAGGTGGTACTGGGTTGGGTGTCTCTGTCCACAGAGCCTGGAGGGCTGAGGGGGTTGGGGAGGAGGGAGGGAGCACCTTCCCTCCCAGAAAACACCTATGTGTGCAAAAAGCACCATCCTTACTGCACTCACTATCCTTCAAACATCTGGAAGACCAAATCAATTCCTGCACTGCTAATTTTTACACATTCCTTGATCACTGTCCACAACCCCTGGACACGGTAGACCAAGAACGCTCTCCACACAAGGACTGAACCATGCATGGGTTAAAGCCAAGGACAAGGCAATGGCCTGCATGCAATGCGAAGGCGTGCAGCAGCCTCTGGCAGGGGGAGGGAAAGGCGTACTCCTCAATGAACACAATTGTGCTCTCCAGGCATTTAGTCACTTACCCAGGCCAGCAAACAGAGTTTCTCTTGAACTGGCCCATTGTGTGTACCTCTGCCTTACCACCCTGTGGAAAGCTGGCCGCAAGATCTCCAGCAGAGACGAGTCCAACTAGATACCCGTCCACAAGCACACGTACACAGTGCATGGACCTCCCTGTGCAGGCACCCCGCCACAGTTTAGTGGAGTCCTTCAGCTTGCACCCCCATCTAAATCACCCCAGGCTTTGGCAAGCACCAGTATGCTTACACAAGTGACTTGTGTTCTGGCAAGCAAGGAAGGCTGAAACATCTCAAGACCTGGTACTCTCTCTGTAACAGACCACAGCTCATTGGGACAGACCATTGGTGCTGAACATGCTACCAGGGCTTTGAGCTCACAGGCGAGACTCCAGCCTTACCTTTGTATGGAGTTTGGCAAACTGCTTGTCATCCAGCAAAGTCTGGGTGTACACGCGCCTTTTGTACCGGAACTGCAAGAGGGGAGAACGTCAGATATGAAATGAACAAAACACACTCAGCATCAAATTGCTATTGAGAAGCTCCAGTAAAGTCTTGCATATAAGACATTGTCTAAATTTGAAAATAACAGATACAGAATCCACTGTTCTCCTCCACATTTTTTTCTAATAGTTGATTGCTTTTCTCAGTAAAGAGATTCTGACCAGTTCTTCATATGAATCTGTCTGGCTTCAGCTTCCAAAAGTATGGGCTTTGTTCTGTTTCTTCCCAATTAATTCAGGATCTAAGAACAGAGAGGTTTTTCCCAAGAAAGTTCTTACACAAGTAATCTATAGCCAATTTTCCTTTAAGCAGGTTGAGCTCTAAATCTCTCACTGAAGGATCTCCTCTTCTGTTCTCAGATCATTTCTGCTGATGTCCTTTCAAGAACAGTGCCTACGACCCCCACGCTGCTCTAATATCACTCTCTTGAACCCAGCCACTCTTGATACCAACTCACTGTTTGTCAGGGTTCACGACAAAAATTTACAGGATCACTTTTTTTGCCATGGCATCACACTAGGAATTAATGTTAGCTTTATTGAACACAAGACTCAACATTTTATTCAGAAACTTTGTTTTCTGAAATTAGAGTCCCTCATCTGCAAGCAAGCTTTGTCCCTTTATGTTTTTCACTTGGCTGACTTAGCGGTATACTTTGATATGTCCTACTTACCAGATGACCTCGAGTGCCATCCACACTGTTATATTCTCTGCTAGACTTGGTGTAGCCAGACAATCAGTAGTGATTTCTCATTCATAGAATCATAGATTATCCCACATTGGAAGGGATGCACAGGAATCATCATGTCCAACTCATACACACTTACACTCAGATACCTGGGGTAACCATATCAAGCTTGATGTTGGTCCTTAAGAAACCTCACTAGAAATATATCTATGCAGTGATGATTTCAGTGACAACCACTTTTTAACCATCGATTAGTTAGCCAGTAGCATTTGTTCTACTGATGTTTAATAGTGCTAATTGGGAATTTGAATACCATGTAGAACAAAACCAGATATTCCCAAGTGGCTGTTACCTTTGTACAGTTATCTTTATCAAGCAAACTTATAGTTTCCTTAAAGAGTAAAATTGGCTTTGACTAGATCTTTCTTCAATGCATGAATTGTATTTTGAGTTTTTGAATTGCTATGAACTTAATCTGTCACCAACATTTCATTATTTCAGCTGGAACTGACATCAAATTATCTTTGGACTGAAGTTACTTATTTTTCAATGCTGGCAATATATCAGCACATTTTCAATCTTCTGTAGTTGCCCTTGTATTCCAAAATTTATCACAAACTTGTACTACTGGGCAGATGTTTCTTCACACAGCTTTTTTTAAATTCTGTGAAAAACTCTCACCCACTGATATACAGATGTTGGTCACTTGAAGATGTTGCCAGTGTTGGGGCTCCTTTGCACATCTCAACACTGTCATGCAAGCACCCTTTGGTGGCTCCTCTTCACCCCTGGCATCACATCCCAGGGTCTGCAAATGAGCTCTGCTCACAGCTGCCAGCTCTGCATCCTGGGCAGCACACTGGCCTGATCCGGGCAGCTTTAGACTTCTTGCCCACCGCTGCTGTCCTAGCCTTCAACCCTGGGGAAGCTCCTGAGCACACCTGGCCCCAGCTGCTGTTCACTACAGGGTAGGGCAACAGCAAGGCAGGTCTGAGAGAGGGAAGGCAGGCTGTGTTGGCTTTGATGTCATGACAGCACACAACTGCCACCCTGGGGCAAAGCAAAAACTTCAACTGAGAAGAGTTAAGTTGTGCAACCCATCGTCAGCCACTCAAAACTACATGGCAGAAGTGGACAGCTAACCCTAAGCTACTTGCACCCCAACAGTTCTGCTCTGATAGCTCATCTGTGGACTGGACTTGTGCAAGGAGGACATGCAGACACATAAATTTCAAAATCTCTTTCAAAGCTACAAGGTGCATGAACTGATTGTGATGGCTAATAATGGCTGAAACACAACAGTGTTGTTTGGCATACAAATGAAACAGCTACCTCGTTATGAATGACATAGGAAGCATCTGACATTAGATGACAACCAGTAGGACAATATGGGATATGGTCAATACTATCAAACACACGAGGGTAACTGGATCTCAGCAGATGGGCAGGCAGAAACCTGCCCGCTGCTTGAGCACCAACATGCTGTGTTGCAGCTCCTGTTTTATCCCAATAAAGGAATCTGGAGTACCAACAGCTCTCCATGGCAGAGGACTGAGCCAGCATCCCACCTCTCCAGGGAAATACTGCAGGTACCTGCTTTTTAACTCTGTAATTTTTCTGTTGCTGTGTACAAACCCTCATTTATCTGATTACATTCATATGCAGCCTTGAGGGCTAATTTATCTTTTGGGCTCGAGAAACCTCATTGGTATCAACATAGGATTTATTTCTTGTAAATGGATTCAGGATTTTTGGTTTTCCAGCAAGTATTCTTAAGTGCTCGGCTACCATTCTTATCAAGTTATGAAGAATTGAAATGACACATAACAAATATCCATGTCAAGTCTGCATTTAGATGTGTGCACTAAGAAATTAAGTATGGACATTATGCTAAATTACACAGAAACGAAGCATTAAAGCCTATGTAAAGAACATTAAGGAATTTACTACCTCATAGGTTTATTTGCAAGCATTCTTAATGTTGTTCCAAATGTTTTTGTCTATATTAAACGTTAGTTGACTAAGAAATTGTGCAGTACTTTCTTTCCAAATTAGTCAGGATTAGTTATAATAACAGCATTCACGCTTGCATTTATAAGAGTTCATGCAGCTTAAGTGTGTAATGCTTTCTAAGTAGATTCTGTGGGTAAAATATAGCACAAGATCCCTAAAACTAGAGGACCACATGCAGGTAACCAAAGTCCCATTACAGTCAGCGGGGAGCCAATGGAGCCTAAGAAATGCTCCAGGTCACCCTTAGAACAAATACCTTCATGTGTTCACCTGAATCCCAGCCAAGGGCAAAATCTATACTAAATGTCAGTACAGAGTAATTCAGTTAATTTCTGTTCCACTTAATTTTCTGGAACAGAAAATAGTATAGCATGAAACTTAGCATTTATCCTCCATGCTTATCACGTAGATGAGGTCCACACAGGAACTGTCATTTACTGTCAAAGCACATAGTTGCCCTCCAGCCTCTAGGTCAACTGTAAATTAAATTAAATTAAATTAATAAATAAATATTAAAATAAAGTAAAAAATGTCAAACAGCTTCTTCAGCCTCACATTCAAAGACCTCCCTATGCTTTTCCTTCTGTACCAATAGTTTTCCTTCTGTAACTTCAGTCTTCCATGACAGTTAGGTGCCAGTGGAAAAAAAAGAAATTTTGATCAACAGGGTCAATAAACAGGGAAGCCGTTTCACAGGACTGTGGCAGATGTTATGGAGCTCTCTACCAGACAGAGTCATGAGCAACTAAAACTAAAACTCAGAGGCGTTTGCCTCAGCTTTCCCTCAATGAATTCTCTGTGAGTAAACATACACCCACAGAAATTTCTGTGCTTTCACTCCTGATGGCAAATGGGGAAAAAAAGGGGAGGGGGGGGCTTAATTTTTGTGGTGCCTCTGGGGAGACTAGAGTGGAAGGGATCATAGGGATCATATGAGTCCTATATACTTATGCATATATATATGTGTGTGCATATATATCTATATCTGTATATAGATACACACATATATATTTGGGGAAAAAAAAAAAAAGGACAGCTACCTCCAGGTAGGGGACAGGAGTGTCTGGATTCAGGGGGTACTCCCGCAGTAGACGCTCCTCATCCAGGAACTTCCCAGCCCTGCCGTTGAAGGCTGGCTGGAAGAGCCCATAGTTGAGAACATCCTTCAGGCTGTGGTTGAGAGTGCACAGAATGCGCTGCTTGGAGACCCACACAGGAACATCTGGATTCAACCGCAGACACTTCTGTGGAGAGACAGAGGGCAATTAGAGCTGAGCATCCCTAAGGTTCTGTAGTCCACCACCACACCCAGGAACAGTCACACTAAGAGTGAGGAGAAGGATGAGATTGGAAAGACACAATCTTTTCCAGTTGGTTGGAGGAGGGGAGGAAAGGGGGGGAAAAAAAGTTGAAAATTAGAGAAGAATGAGATTTAGCAGATCCTCCCCCAACCTATTTTGTGTGGTTCAGGGCAGACTGGTATTTTACAAAGTCCTATAAAATGAGATGTGCCAAAGAGTATTTTATGGCCTAACAACAGTATAATAGCAATATTTTAATTAAATATCCCTCCGACAGTGTGTAAGGAGTCTACTGAATTCTCCACCAGGAATTTTGCACGTGTGCAAAAAAAGGAGCAGTGCATGCCAGCACTGCAACCCCTTCCAGGAAGGCAAGGCATCCAGTGAAGTCTTCTGTCAACTCTGTCTTCATGCATTCAAAGTCCTGTTTTTCCTTTCCACCCTCTAACATGCAGTGAATTTCCCTGGTCCTGTAAGCAGCTTCCCCTGCTCGGGACCTGAGAAATCAAGTGTTTGCAGTCCATCACCTTCAAGCTACGTCTTCTGCAGCTGTCGTGCACCCTGGCTGTCTTGGCTGCAGAACCACAGCCCTTCACACTGTCTGCTCTCACAGCCAGGAGCAGGAAGGAAGGAAGATGCTGCACTGGCAGCACCAGAGGTCAGGCTTACAACAGCCAGTCCCCATCAGTGGTCTCAGCTTCCCCTCCCAGGTCACAGTTTTTGCTTTTTGGCCCTTGATGTCTCCTCATTCCGGTTACTTTGGTTTTCCTCCTTCTTTGCTCTTCCACCCCATCCACACTTTCTGGGCAAGGAGAAGAAAGTCTCTGGTCTTGTTTCAGTGTTTTGTTTCAAAACCACTGCCTGTCAGTTCCATGTAGAGCTCCTGATTTCTGTGCTGGAAGGCAAAGTGAGCAACTGCTTTGAAAAATTAAACAGCTTTGCCTAGAGAAAAGCAAATGGTCCTGCTGAGGCACAGGGCGGTAGGCAGCAGAGCACCAGTGCTGCACTGCACAGTGCCAGGCCTGATCACCACCCAGAAGTCACCAAGCAACACGGCAACTGAGCTGATGTTACGGTTCATTTTTCTCAGGCAAGGATAACTTGCACTTGGCAGCATGCCATGTACTGCAAACAGAGGTCAGAGTTATCTGTTTCATTGCTGACCACAGTAGCAAGTGAGCATACTTATCAACACGTGCTTGTCCTAAAGCAGGCACTGAGGAGAGGCAGACACTTGGTGGTCTGAGACATCAAGAGTTCAAAACTTGTGACATGTCAGCTCTGTTGTGCTGCAGCAGAACATGTATCATTCTTTCAGGGACCCCTAAACAGAAAATCACCATCTACATGTATACCTTCCGACATGCTTACTTAGTCTCTAGGATTTTTCCTCATTATCAAATTATGCTTTTTGGTACAAAAATATGTGGCTAATGGGAAAAAACTATTGACAGATATGCACATATGTACAAGCACAAGTGCTGGTTGAAGGCACATCCCTATACAAAAATCAGTGAATCTTATATTAAACTTTACACTGCAAAAACATACTCTGGAGAGTATTGTTTCCTGTTTAGGAGAGAAAACGGCTTCAATTCTGCAGTGTGTTTCATTAACCAGTGTCAGAAATTGGAAAGAAAAAAATACGTACTTCCACTGTTAGGTCAAAATGCTTCATTGCTGTTTGTGGCAATTACACTACTTAAAGTGTAATGTCTCATTTTTTCCAAATACCATCAAATGTATTAATAACTTTCTCATATCAGAGTTCCTGAAACTAAACATGCTTATTCCACTCCATGATGCATAGACGCTCCAGGAGCAATATCCCACCAACCCCTGCCAAATGGTTGCAAAGGATCTCTCTGTACAGCCTTAACTCTGAAGTCTGCATGGATCCACAGCAGAAAGCCACTCTGTGTTCAGTTTGCTCAGGCAGACACTGCAGCAAGGGCTCCTCCAACTCCTCTTTCACTAGGAACGCATCCATCTCCACCAGCACAGCCAGGACAGCCATGGCAGCTCCCAAATCAGTACCTGGCTGATCCCAGACAGAGCAGGAAACGTTCATCTGCTTGAGCCACAAGCACCATACCAAGCACTGATCCCCACCTCCATCAGGAAAGAGGTGCTGAGTTCAAACAGCACAGGGCCCTGTGGCAGCAGGCACAGGGACATCCAGCCCTGAGACAGCACTTACACAGGCAGGAATAACTTCCAGCCCTAAGGGCTGGGACATTCAAGCCAACAAGAATGTTATAAGGAATCAGGAAACCAGTTGTCTCGTGCAGTCCCAGGCTTGTAGGCCAAGGGCAGGTCTGTACCCCCTTGCTCCTCAGGCTCTCCTGACAGGATGCTGAGCACTGCTCTTGCACCAGTCCCCATGAGGAACTCGAAGCACACAGAGGCACTGCAGAGCAGACCCTGCACCAGGTTGGATGGGGACAGGCTGGAGGAAGCTTTCAGAATAAGCTGCTCGGTTTGGTTCACTGTCACTAGCAATAATTTTTGTCATACAACAATCAAAGCCTTAGAAACAACTCCTGAAAGAAAACGATGCAGCTTTGCAAGTTAGACAGCACGGATGACTCCTTCCTGAAGGAAGAAAGAGCTCACAGCTTCAGATTCAATCCTCAGCACCACAGAGGATGACAGACAAGATCTATTCAGGAACCACCCTGCAATAATGACAATAAAGAACTTATATTCGACAATCCTTTAACAGCAAAAAAGACTAAAATTTTTCATCGAAATGCACAAAAATGAGAAAGAGTTGAAAGGAAATTAAAAGAAGCAGCTGTAAAGGTAACGTGCTTGCAGGCAGCAGGGAATATATTTCATAATATCACATTAGGAGCTCTGAACGAATGTATGGCAAAAATAGAAAAATGGTCTCTAAGAGGTCCCAGAGAAAGACGGAGTAGCCAAAACCACAGAGCAGGGAAAGCTATAGAAAGTAAAAGACTTCCTTTAGAAAATGGAGTCACCTCTGAATGAGAGCAGAACAAACCACATACAAAAAGACAATGGTAACAAAGGCATTAAAAACTAGCAAATGCAAAGGAAGTGGGGAGTCTGATGGACAGTGGATGAGGCTGGCAAGTGACGGAGGTGTGAAGTCATCCCAGGAAGAGTCCCTGGGCTCCTCCGGTGAGGATGGGCAACAGGACGGGCTCCTTGCTGCCACTACAGCTGCCAACACGCAGAGACTCATAGGTAGGTGACAAAAACTCCACAGCAGGCACAGGAGCATGACAAGTTCAAGAGCAGGCTGATGAAACAGTGTTGACCATGGTGGTGCAAACTGTCTTTGGAGTGGGAGCAGAGCTGAGGCAGGAAGCACTGAGATCCCACAGGACTGACCTCTCTGACAGGGAAACGGACAGGACTTGGACAAGCATCCACACTGCTGAGAGAACAGCTTACTTTCTGTAGAGAAATGCCTCCCACCTACGAGGAGAGCTTGGAGAGAACCCACGCTGCCAGAGCAAGGCTGGCCTGCTTACCCAATACACACTCGTACTTCCAAAGCGTTTTCAACAATGTCCCTTGCTGCTATAAACAAGACTGCCAAAAGCAAGGAAGTATTCTTTTGGAATAACCAACAAGGAAGATGGTAAACAAAGGGTAAGGTTAACCAGGCGGGTTTCCTGACACGGAGGTGTTCATTAGCAGAGTCATGTGCACATGCCGGGATGTGAGCTGAAGTGATGTAGGCTGAAGGCTGTTACAACACTTAAATTGGCAGCACATCCAGATCTTCTACATCACGTGTGGGTCTGATCGCTCTGTCTTTTCAGGAAAAAACAGAAACAGGAAAGGTAAAGATGACAAAGGTGACTGGAGGCATGGAGTGGTCTGCAGGGGACAAGTGCACTGGACGTGAGCCCAGACCCAGAAGTGAAACATCCCAAAGGAGCAGACAGCACCCCACTGCAACAGCCAGGGTTTGCACCCAGTGGGCAGTGGCTCCATCTGATGCAGGGACTGGGACCAAGTCACAGGAACAGAAAACAGGTACAAAACAAACAAGCCCAGGTATCTTTATGACCTTTATTTAAAAGACTATACCTGTTTTTCCCAATTATAAGTAATTTTTCCCTCTGATTTATTAAAAGCCTATCCATTTAAGCAGCAGTTTCAGCAGTGAATTCTTCCTGTGATGTGGGGCAGAGATTATTAATCCCCTGCCTCCTCTTGCTCCCCTGCAGGATCCTACTGGCCTTGCTCACAGGAGATGGATCAGAGCCACTGGGGCACTGCCACCAGTGGCAGCCTCAGCTTGCCACCAGCCAGGGAGCCAGCAGCAGCCCCCACTCACAGATGGGCAGAGGTTGAGACAGTCCCTGGCCAGGAGACTGCGGGACGGGATGGACATCACCACTGCAGTTTTTCTGCTTCAGCAACACAGGCCAAGGAAGAAGCTGGGTTCTGCAGGGACTGGGCAGAGCAACAACCACCCTGCATTTTAGTGGAGAAGAAGAGAAGCCAGCACAAGTTTCCTGTGCGCTGGATGGTGGTGGTGAACAGACTGGGACCAGCTTACAGAGCAATGTGTATGCTGGCAAAACAACAGGAATTTGGGGGCTTAGATCACCTCCTGAGGAAAGCTCTGGCCCTGCCATCTGATGTGCTGGAACACCATGCTAGGAGAAGCTGCCTCCACCAAGAGGAAACAAGATAAAGAGTAGGAGGAAGGTTCTCAGCTCCCAGCAGGAAGGTGGCTGGTGCATGAGCCCTTCTTGCAGAGTTCCATGCTGTAGATAAAGTATTTTGGCTCACTTAGTTTTCCAGCAAAATGGTTGCTGCTTACGAGCCAGTCTGGAAGGATGTTGTTGACTGTTGTATCATCCTCTGGTATCCTTTGTGGGTAGGAAGCTATCCACAGTTACTTCTTTAAAAAAAAAATAAAGTCCAAGAGTCCCCATATTACAACCTCTCTG